TACCTGCATGTCAAGAAAGTTGCGTTTGTTTTGAAAAATGTTAATTCAGTATGCATCGTAAAATGAATTTGATTGAAAGAAAGCAGATATGGTCAAACAAACTTGGTCTTTTTCCCAAGGATTGACCCTTTTTATCCTGAATGACTTTATCTACCTTTACTTGTCTAAATAATTATCCTCCTCTATCCCCTATGACTCTTTTTCATCGAAGTTACCTTAGGTTTAGAAAACAGTTAAAACCTACTTGCGGTGAACACATTCTCTTTCTTCAGGAAGCATCTGGGACGGGGGTTCGTTGCTTTAGAAGCCGGCCCTGTTATCGACCCAGAGTGGACCATTCTACGGGGGGGTACTTTGTCGATTCGGTGGAGACGGCCCGACTTTTGAGATCTGAGTCTTGTGCTCGGGCGAGGAGTATTCCAAACCACCTCCTAGGGGAAGAGGCATGCAATACTTCAAGCAATGCACCTGATCAAGAATCATTCACAAAGCAGGTTGTCATCCAAAAAGATAAGAAACGTATGAAGATAGGTGTATGCATGTCTAATCTTAAGTCGGCGGTAGGTGGAATGAATGACTTTGGCAGCTCGTCTCATCAAGTCAAAACTAAGGCAATCCGACTACCTTGTTGGCTGCATCAAGGTTATTTTCGATAGCCAACTCCTCGTTGGCGGTTGTATGATTGTTTTGTGGAATTGGACCCGGGAGGTCGGATTTTATTTTGATATTGTGTTATTGGATGTATCTAATGATGATTTAGATTCGTTCGGTTATCATTTCAGATTGGATATATGTTCATGTCGACTACGGTCGATTCTTTTTTATGTAACTATGGGTGGTTGTTATGTCTTTCACACTTGGTTGAGACCGTCCTAGCCGACCGGCGTACACTTCGTACTAAGGAGATCAACGCCCTAAGGAAGGAACGACGTTCGGGTTCAATAGGCGTTTTAATCGTTCGTACCTATACTACAGCGAGCGAGGAAACACCCTCGGCTGACTCACCTCTTAACAACATGTAAAAGCTTTCGCACGTGGGTCAGTAGCTCGGTAGGGATACGCCCCTAAGGGTGGTGACAACCTCTTAGGGAAGCATAGCTTATGCCCCGCGGGAGCCTATCCTGTCGTAGGGGACTGCGGGATGTACAGCTGGCGCACCCGGCTAGAGTGGCGAAGGGAGGACACCACCGCGGCCGTCTCGGCGGCTTGCGGGATTATTTATGCATCATCCTAGAGTTGTCTCTTGATAATGGTTTAGTTTAAACTCCTGCGTGACACGGTCGGGAGGGCTCCCGCCTCTTCCCGAGAAAAGGCGGGGGCCGATGCGCTCGACACCGGTTGCTTATTTCTCTTAACACCTACTTCCCGCAGAGCGTAACTATACTGCTGACGAGCGTGGGGTTTCGCTCTGGTTTACACTGTTAAGAAGTGGCGTCGTCATCTACACGATTATACCTTCACCGTGCTCACGGACAACTCTGTCCTCGCCGCCTTTCAGACGAAGCCTAAACTCACTTCTCGTCGGGCTCGTTGGTGGCGTGATCTTTCCGAGTTCGACTTCACCTTCAGAAAGATTTCCGGCGAGAGCAACCGTGTCGCAAATGCCTTATCCCGTCGCCCTAACCTTAAGTGCGATGATCGACTTTCTGTCTCTACTCCCATTATCCATCCTGCTTTCCTTGACGAGTATCGTCGTGCTTACCCCCAGTGCTCTAAGTTCCACTCCATCTACGCTGACTTACATCCCTAACTTCCAACTCGACCTCTCTGGACTCTTGTACTGGCTTGGACTCAATCATCCTCATACTCCTCGTTTATGTGTGCCTTCTACCGGCCAGCTCTGTGTTCGGGCAGTTGCTGAGAGTCATGATCAGCGCGCCGCTGGTCATTTTTCGGTGTCTACAAGTCTCTTGACCGCCTCTACCGCCATTACTATTGGAGGCACCGTCGCACCTTCGTTAAGGAGTATGTTCGCACGTGCAAGATCTGCCAAGAGGCCAATATTACGAATCATCCCCCCTACGGTCTTCTTCAACCCTTACCCATTCCTACTCATCGTTGGACTTTTGTCTCCATGGACTTCATGGGTCCTCTTCGTCCCCCTACCCCACCAGGCCACGACGCCATCTTCGTTGTTGTCTGTCGGCTGACTAAGCATGCTCACTTCCTTCCTTGCAAGTATGCTAGCTCAGCTAAAGACATCGCCTCACTCTATTTCAACCACATTGCCATTCATCGTGGTCTTCCTACTAGTATTGTCTCTGACCGTGACCCCCGCTTCACTTCCCACTTCTAGCGTGGACTCCACGAGATCTACGACTTTGAGCTTCGCTTCTCCTCTTCTTACCATCCCCAGTCAGACGGACAGACCGAGGTCACCAACAAAACTTTTAGGAATATTCTCAAGAAGTTTGTTGAGAATGACTCTGATTGGGACCTTCATCTTGCCCATGCCGAGATTGCTTATAACCATGCTATTTCACCAGCCACTGGCATGTCTCTTTACTATTGTGACTTGGGATATCACCCTCGTGTCCCATCTGATCTCCTTCGTCCATCTCAGATCCATCCCGACACTAAATGCCCTGCCCTTGATGACTGGGTTAAGGAGATGGATGAGATTCTCCAAGAGCATTGCTGACTCCCAGACTCGCATGGCTACTAGCGCCAACCGTTCTCGCATCCCTTCAAAGCTGGCGACGAAGTCCTTGTCGACACATATCACTTCCAGCCCGAGGCCGACACGCTTCGGAAATTCAGACGTCGATATATCGGTCCATGCACTATTCTTTCCCCCGCCGGACCTAATCATGACTGTCTGGTGAGCTTCAAATTGAAGCTCCCCGATTCCATGTATCACGCTAACCTACATGTTGTGTTTCATGTATCTCTGTTGCGCCCCTTCAGATGGTCTCCCCCTGAATTCCACGGTCGACCTTACCCTCGCCCCTCTCCCATCATCATTGAGGGTCACGAGGAGTTTGTCGTCTCTGATATCGCGTCGCGATGTATGATTGATGGTAACCCTCCCCGCCTCGAGTATCTCGTTCGATGGAAGGGTTACCCTGACAAGGAGTCCACTTGGGAGCCTCCCGGGCACCTGAAGCATGCTATGATTTTTGTGCATGCTTACGATCGTGCTCTTCCTTTCCCTTCATCATCCTCCCCTCCTATTTCTCGTCCTTCTATTGACCCATCTACTTCAACGAACACTAACATACCCCCTCCTCCATCAATGGGTCCTCCAGCTCCACCGACACCTGCCTCAGGTCCCGATTCCCTTGTGGATGTGGCTCCGCCTGTTGTTGCAGTTGATTCCTCTCGTCCTCAACGTACTCCTCGACTTCATTCTCGCTATCGTGACTGATCTATACCCCCTATACACTCTCTATCTTTTACCATTCTTGGACACTTATGCAGCAGCTCCCGGTTTCAATTTCTATATTCGACTTCTACATTCGGCTTCTACATTCGACTTTCGACCTCAGTGCTTCTCTTCAGTACCAGAGTACCTGTCGCAGCGTTCCGGACTTCTACTCGATTTCTGCGCTACTCCTACTTCATCTTGGCTACTTCGACTCGACTTCAGTCTGAAGACTCGCCAGTTGGACTACTTCACTTTTTCGGCCACAGAGTTCCCATCTTTCCCGTCTATTGACCATCCTCGAGTTTACCCTCCAGTCGCATGATGACCCCTGTTTTCCCTAACCATGTGGGTGTGTTCCTCTGCCGCCCTTCTGCCTTACCCTATGTTGCATGCCCTCCTCTGGAGTGTACATTTTTATTTGCTCGCAGCGCTTGGCCATATGTCTATGCGGGCATAGCCCCCCCTCGCTTGTGTGCTCCCTTGGGTGAGTGCCCTTCCCTTTGAGCTGGCAGTGCTCGTTTGATGGTTTCCATTGAGCCTGGTGTCGTGCTGTTATTTTCCCTCTGAGCCTGATGATGTTTCATATGGTTGTGTGGGTACCCCCTTGGAGTTTACTCTGAGAGCTGTACCCCCCGCCCTCCCACCCATCCCTACCTTTCCCATGCGACTGAGCTCCCTGTCTTCTATTCGGCTAGTGTGTACTTGTATAGGGCACGTGAGACTGTGCCACATTCCTTTTCTGTGTGGATATTGGTGTAGTTCCTCTTTAGTCTTTAGGGCTTAGGTGTTGACTTATGCTCAACCACATTGGCTTAGGAGACATTTTTCTCTTTCTTGGCCGACACAGGTCGAACATTTCTCTCTTTCTCGGCCAACACAGGTCAGAATTTTTTCTGCTTTTTGGGTAGACATTGTTGTATAGATTAGGCTTGAGGCTTAGTCTGCATTTCATCTCTTTTCTGCATGGAGCTTGCTCCGCATTTAGGATTGTGTCTTTGCCGTTCCTCTGGGCTTCCGCTATTTCAGTGGATAGCGTGTTGATGTATCACTTGATCCATTTACAGGTCCGAGGATGATGTAGCGGTACCCCTTCAGCCCGACAGTGAGGCCGGACCTGTTTCAGGCCGGCCTCACCTTGGTCCGGTACCGGGTTACTCTGGCCTGGACCAAGGGCGGTATATCCCTCCGGCCTAGGCCCAGGCCGGGTTGGTCACTCATGCAGTGGTTCACTCGTTCATTGAGTCAGACTGGACCTTCACTCAGCTGCTGCTTCTTGTGTGTGTCCATCTCATCTCTCTCTCTCCCTCTCTCTCTCACCATCTCCGCATGTGCCCTCTACACGTGCGTCACATCCACAAAGAATTCCGGTGAAAATCTTGGGTAGAGAGAGGCTGCGATGTTCTTCATTTAAGAGTGTATAGTCAGGCTATGGTATATGAATAAGAACTGCCCTCTACAGTATTCTGTACTCCTTGCCTGGCAAAGTTGTGTTTGGAAGTAGCCTGACGTGAACATGTTTCTCCCTTGGTTGGTAAGCACTAGTGTTGGATGAATTTGTTGCGACCCTCTTTTTTTCGCATGCTAACTGAGCTGCACTGGCTCTATCTTGTGACATCTATTGTTCTTGATGCAGGTACTCGAGCAGAAGGTGAAGGCTATGGCAAGCACTCTGGAAAAGCGGATGGAGGGATTGACAGAGGAGATTTCTGTAAGGTTCCTTGCCCTCCTCTTTAAGATTGGAGTGCTGTACCCTACACACTGTCTGCTTTATATTCTTCTTTTTTTCTGCATAAATGATAAATGACAATATCCTTATCATATTGTGTTCTTCTGATTCAATCAGGATTTAAACTCATGTCTGTTTAGTAACAGTTACATGTGTACCGTTAAGCCACATAGGCTGGGTACTGTCATGTCTATTTCACACACCAGTAGATATGGTACTTGTGAATTCTGGTTGGAGTCGGACAATGCCATGATTGCCATCTGCATTTTCCGATAGTTTGATAACTTTGAGATTTGATCTTATCGGGGCAGTGTCACAGGCAGGTCCCCCAGAGTTTTATTCTCTAACTGTCAACCGTTTGACTGATCGTACTTGACATTTTCCCTTCTTTTTTTTCTTCCCATTTCTCCATTTATGAGTGTCCATCCTTGTGCAAGGGCCATGCTAATCTTCTCTGTATCGTATAATTTTAGCAGATGTCCTGATCATAGTTGACTATTCTGGACCCATCCTTAATCCATCCGTGGGGCATTGGTGTAACGTCGTTGACCCTTCTCCTTAATTTTCCCTTGACCTTTCTTCTTAAACGACCAGTATCGTTACAGCGAAGGTGCTGAACCTACCTGTGGCTGTCTCCCAGAACTGAAAGCAAACACTGGTATCGCGAAAAAAAAAAGGGACGGCATCCTCTCCCATAGGAGGAATGGGAAGGCTGTGGGGGGTTTAGAGTCTTCTTTTTTTCAACACCCGCCGTTCTGGAAAGGCGGGTGTGTGTGAAAAAAAAAGGCAGGCAGGAATTGTAAAGCCATACTCACACCAGTATTGCCACTGCTCAGCTCTGGAGAGAATTGCGGTCAGATACACCTAGACTCAGCTGTAATTGCAGTCAGATACGTCTAGAAAAGTCCTAGTGTCAGTATGCCCTAGTATGATTTAGTATTCCTGTGTGCAAGGAAAATGAGCAATAGCGAGATGACAATGTCTAGAATGCACAATCACATTGAAGGCCAGATAGTATCACAGTGTCCAGAAAGCAGAAATGCACCAATATAACACCAATGAAGAATCGTAACACTGAAAACCAATGTCAATGAGAGCCTTGTTCTCGCCACCACCAACATGAGTGTCCAGGCCCTATCTCCCTACTTGGCGCTCGGCGCCCAGCTTACTTCCTACACAGCTACAGTCTGCCTACTAATTGACAATGCAACTGTTGGCGTCAGCAGCTCACGAAGTACTTGAAGATGTCGACCAATGCAGACCATCGCCAATACCAGGTATGTGCCCTCACATCATCATCATCATCATCCTTCTCTCTCTCTCCCTCTTCTTACAGCCACGTCTTCCCTCAGTACACCCCAAGACCACCCCTGCTCCTCACTGTGCAACTAAGCCCTCAGCCAGCTATGGAGGCTGGGCTATGGCGCTTCCCTCAGCAGCGCCCTGCTTCCACACACGACTGCACGTGCGCAGCACCTTGCTCCCGCGCTAGCAGCCAGCACGCGAGCAGAAGCTCCAGCAGCGCTGCTGCCAGCTAGCAAGTGCCCGAATGCCACTCCAGGCAGCGAGCTCTTTCCTATATGGAAAGAGCCTGCCTGCCTTCACAGCCTGGCTGGCCTGGGCCTGGGCCCGGGCCAAGTTGCTTCCGGTAGGCCCCAGATGCTGCGCCTCTGGTGCAGCTACTGGGCCTCATTCGGTTGGGCCTCCCCAACTGTCTGTGTACGAGGCTGCAAATCTCGCCCAGGGCCTGCGCTTTCGGAAAAGCCTAGAAGGCCGTGGAATTTCCTCGCTGCTCGGCCTGTGTTTCCTTCAACCAACTGGCGTGACGAAACTGCCTGGACCCAAATACGAAATTGACAGCCGAGGGCTTCTCGTGATTTGTTAGGCCCGCCTTCACTTAGGGCGGGCGCAGATGCAACAGGGGCCCCTTAGGCCTCCCGATGACCTAGATCCTCGCATTCCTTCCTCCTTACTTAGATAGTCCTCTGAGAAGTTCTTATGTAACAGGCTGCTTCCCTTTCAGCTTTCTCTCGTAACTTGAGATAATTTGGGGAGCAGTCTTCATTAATTCCTCTCTTGTGAACCACCGGTCTTCTTGAGGATCAATGCGATGTCTGAGCCGCACTCCGTATTGCATCTGTGGCTTTGGCGGTCGACCCCTTCCTGGAGGTTTGGGGGTACAGGCATCAGCTTGTGCTCGACGATATCGTCAATGTCCACGTGTCCATCCATGGTTGGGGGCAGCATTGATCTCCTTGAGGGAAACTGATCAGTGGCGGCCGACCCCTTCCTGGATGTTTGGGGGTACAGGCATCAACTTGGATGCATGGAAAACAGGGTAAGTACGTAAGCGTGTAGGAATGTGAATTACGTATGACGGTCCATCTGGTCGATCCCCTACGATGTCTAAGATTTCCCAGGGCCCAAAGCACTGTGGCATTAGTTTGCGTGAAATCCCCAACTCTTGACCTAGTTCAGATGATTTTACCCAGACTCGTTCGCCTACCTCAAAGTTAGACTGTCGTCTGTGCCTGTTCTCAGATGCAATCATGACATCTTGAACTTTCTTAATGTTCTCTATAGCCAGTTGCAGCATCTGTTCGTATTTGACATCAAACTCTAGGCTGCCAGGTGATGCATTTTGCTGCTGCTCAGGTAATAGAAAGTCCAGTGCTACGTACATCTCAGAGAGAGATAAATGTCTAGAAATTTGTAATTAGCGGATGGAAAAAAAAAAGAAAGAAAGTCCAGTGCTGATCTGGGCTTCCAACTGAGATGTAATTGGTTGGGACTCTTGGGAGTCGTACCAGTAGTGCTATGCACAGCGTTATTGTACAGGCTGTCGACGAGAGGCAGCTTCTCGTCCCAGCCATCTTGACTTGGCTTGATGTAATGCCGAAGCAGGTGCTGTACTACACGGTTCATCTGTTCAGTCTGGCCATTTGACTCAGGGTGCTTCCCTGATGTCATTTGGAGCCGGGTGCTCATCTGTTGGGCTGTGCTTTGCCACAATTCGCTGGTGAATCTCACGTCCCTGTCACCAACTATAGACGTAGGTAGACCAAAGTCACATACCCAGTTATCCATAAAGAGCTTGATGATATGCTCAATTCTGGCTGTCTCAGGCATAGCAATTAGTCTTGCATATTTAGTAAATCTATCCACAATGACAAATATATGCCTTTTTCCACTCTTGCTGGTCACGAGCGTATCCATGAAATCCATGGACACACTCTGCCCAGGTCCAGCAGGGATAGGCAGGGGTTTAATCAATCCCAAAGGTGCCTGCGTCCTTCGTTTGTCACGTTGGCAAACTTGGCAGGTCTCTACATATCTCTTTGCATCCTGCATCATTGTGGGCCACCAAAACTTTTGCACTAGGTTAGCTGATGTCTTTCTATAGCCAAAATGACCAGTTGCATCATGACATTCCCCTAAAAATAAACTACGCAAAGACTCACTATTAGGAACACATAGTCTTTTATTCCCTGCCTTTTCAAGAAACAGCAAGTCATCTACCATCGTAAATTCGTCAGAAGTTACTTTATCCTTCTCTTTGAACTTACGGATGATTTGAGACATAACGGAATCTTGTTGATAGGCTTCCACCAATGATCGAGTTAGATCGTTAGATATACCAAACTCGGTGACTAGCGCGCCCACATAAACTGCCCGACGAGATAGTGCATCAGCCACTTTGTTGTACTCTCCCTTGATTGGATCAAGTTGATAGTCATACATGTCTATCACTTGAATCCACCGCTTGAATGCCTCAGAGAGCACAGGCTGTGTCTTGATCCAACGCAAGGTCTCATGGTCAGATCTCTCACGTAGAAGAATCTGCCTAGGAGATAACGTCTCCAGTGGACCAGTGCTCTATAGAGGGCATAGAGCTCACGCCCATACGTGGACTTTGCTAGCTTTTGAGACGTCATCTTCTTACTCATATACTGCCTAGGAGATAACGTCTCCAGTGGACCGCGCCTATGCCATATTGGTTGGCGTCTGTGGTCACAACAAATGGCTTATCAAGATCCTGAAGTTTGAGGACCTGGTAGTGTGTCAGAGCATACTTCAATTTCTTGAAGCTTGCCTCACACTCTTCAGTCAACTCCCAAGGGGTGTCAAGTCGAGTTAGATCTGTTAATGGGGAAGCTATAGTACTATAGTTCTTAACAAACGGACGATAATAGCCCGTCATCCCCAAAAACGATCGGACCTCAGTAACAGTCTGAGGTCTGGGCCAGTCTCGTATGCTGGCCACTTTGGCATCGTCCGGCCTCAACGCATCCGCAGAGATTTCTTGACCCAAGTACAAGATCTTGGTGCGACCAAACTCGCATTTCTCCAAGTTTACCTTGTATTGGTGCTGTCTTAGGAGTCCTAGCACTATTTTCAAGTGCTCAACGTGCTCCTCTACAGTCTTACTAAAGATAAGGATATCGTTGAGGTACACGACAATAAACTTGTCTAAGTATTCATGAAATATCCTATTCATGGCGCACTGGAATGTCCCAGGGGCATTGCATAGGCCAAGGGGCATCACCACAAACTCGTACAAACCGTACCTGGTCTGAAAGGCGGTTTTGTGTTGGTCCTCAAGTCTAATGGCAATTGGATGGTATCCGAACTTTATATCTATCTTAGTAAAGTACCGGCATCCCTGCACTCTATCCAATAGGTCGTCGATGCGGGGTACGGGCTCTGCGTTCTTTATGGTGATGGCATTGAGGCCCCTATAGTCAATGCACATCCTCAATGTACCTCCCTTCTTAGGAACAAATAAGTTTGGCGCACTGTAAGGGGAGGTACTAGGCCGAATCCATCCCTTCTCTGTGAACTCTTTGAGCTGGCGGTGGAGCTCATCCAACTCCGTGGGAGACATCCTATAGATGCGTCCTCTAGGTACCTTACTACCCGGGACAACTTCTATTGCATGGACCACCTCCCTTTCGACCACTCCTGTGGGCTCCTAAAAAAGGTCAGG